CCCAAAAGTCCAGAATGGTATAGGACAGTGATGAGTAACCTTTTTGCCGTCGCGTGCCAAAAGCAGGGGGAGCTTACGGGGGGGGGGGGGCGCGTGGGTGTGCCCCCCCCCCCCATTAATTCATGTCGCCCCCCCCCCCCCGTGCCGCCCCATGCCCCCCCCCCCCCGCACTCACTCCCACTTTTGGCACACGATGGCATAGTGGGCCCGGTAGGCCCATTTTTCACCCTCCAGAGGCTCCAGACGCTTTCTCGGAGCCTGGGGAGGATGAAAACAGCCTCCCCCCCAGACCCTCTGGAGGCCGGAAACAGCCTGTTTCCCAACTTCCAGTAGACCCGGAAGGCCCGAAAATCAGCTGGCCAGTGCGCACATGTGCGTTGGAGCTAAGCTGGGGCAATGATCGCGTGCCCACAGATATGGCTCCACATGCCACCTGTGTCACGTCTGCCATAGGTTTGTCATCACGGGTATAGGACCATGATGGCGAATCTCTGGCACGCGCAGAGTCTTCTCTGTGGGCATGCGTGCCATAGGCAGCTGCTGTTCCGGGTTCCGTTAAGTGCATGCGCACCGGACAGTTACTGTCTTTTGGGTTGTGGTGCTCCGGCACGTATGTGCACACTCCAGTTTCGGCACTCGGTGCCGAAAAGGTTAACCATCCCTGGTATAGGATCTCCTGCCATGGGCAAGGGGTTGGACTAGAAGATCTCCAAGGTACCTCTAACCCTATTATTCTGTGTTCTACGTTCATCCCATTAAAACAGAGCTAGAAGGCGTAATTCAGATCATTGAGTTGAATTGCCCGGCTTGGTGTTGAAATCCAAATCAAAGCATTTCTGACAGCTGTCAATTTTTGTTTGCTTCAGCTCATCCGGTGGAGAGGGGACAGTCACCCACCCACTAAGTTCTCGTTTCTGCTGTTGAACAGCTCCGAGGACAATTTCTCTAATGTTCAATTAGACCAGTAGGATTCAGCCAGGAAGAACGGGGAGCAATAAAATTAACGCAGGAGACAAGTTTGAAGAAGTACATAGATGGGCGAATTTCCCAAGCTCCAATTCAAAGCGTCAGCAGGAATAAGTCCAATTCATTTGTAAAGTCTAATTAGGGTCAATTCAAATCACGGATGGGACCAAAAAAGAAAAGCACAGGCAGTCCTCCACTTATGACCGCAATTGAGCCCCAAATTTCTGTTGCTAACCGAGACAGTTGTCAAGTGAGTTTTGCCCCATTTTACGAGTTTTTTCACCACGGTTGTTAACTGAATCACTGCAGTTGTTAAGTTAGTAACCCGGTTGTTACGTGAATCTGGCTTCCCCATTGGCCTTGCTTATCAGAAGGTCGCAAAAAGGGATCATGCGACCCCGGGACACTGCGCCCGTCATAAATATGAGTCAGTCACCAAGCAAAGTCAGTGGGGAAGTCTGATTCACTTAATTACCGTATTACTCACTTAACAGCTGCAGTGATTCACTGAACAACTGTGGCAAGAAAGGTCGTAAAATGGGGTAAAACTCACTTAACAACTGTCTCGGTTATGAAAAAGTCCTCTTTGTTCACCAATAAAAAGAGAGCGACTGGTTTTCTAGACTTTCGCACTTGTGACAAATCATTAGGTCCAAGGCTGGGATTCAGCTGGTACAGACCAGTTCGGGCGAACCGGATGCTAATTTTACATCCGGTTCGCCGAACTGGTAGTTGCAAAGACTGACTTGCCCCACCTCATCCACCCCACCCCACCCCTCCCCGGAGCCTCCATGCGGCCCGTTTTGTATGCCAGATAAGTACAGGGCCTGTGTGGAGGCTTTGAGAGGCGAAAAACAGGACTACCGGAAGTTCCGGAAGTCTGGAAATGGGCTCGTTTCTGGCCTCCGGAGCCCGGGGGAGGCTGTTTTCACCTTCCTGGAGGCTCGAGGAAAGCCTCCGGAACCTGGGGAGGGCAAAAAGCTCCCCCCACACCATGGTGCAGGAGGCGAAGTAGGCCAGGCCCACCATGGCCACACCCACCCAACAACTGGGCAGAGAACCGGTTGCTAAAATTTTTGAATCCCACCCCTGACGTGTAGGATTACTAACTTTCTTTTAAACTATGGTTAACATAACTTACGTAGGGCCGTTTTTTAGAAACAGATTAACCAGCCCATCAAGTACGTTTTAAATGAAGGCTAGCTGAACTCGATGGGAAATTTAATAATACATATACAAGAAATGTACACCTATTGCAATTTGGTAATAAGAATGCCACCAGCATTCACACCAGCAGAAGCAACGTGAGCGTTAGCAGGGAAATAGTTAATTTCCGAATGATAGAACAAATAGGTTACGAAGCACTATATTATCTTTTTTTTTTCCTTTTTTTTAAGGCAAGAGAGAGACGGAAGCTTCTGTTTGTGTGGTTTAGCTGAATGCTCCCTTCCATGATTATCTGGCTGAAAAAGTCACTTTATTAGAGAGAATTGCCTTTCTCTCCTGGATGGGTCTCAAAGGAAGAAGGAGAAAAAGCCTAATTCACAAGAGGATTTGGTTCTTCGGTGCTGTGAGCTGCCTGCTTTTAATTCTGAGGAGTCACGACGAGCAGAAATCATCAAACATTAATTTCATATCAAAAAAGGGGGGAGGGGAGGGAAGGAAGGGAGCAATGGATGGATGGATGGAAGGAAGGAAGGGAATAATGGATGGACGGGAAGGGGAGTGGATTGGAAGGGAGGGAAGGGGCGTAAATAGGGAAGTGAAGGAATGATGAGAAAGGGAAGGGGAGGGAGGAAGGAAGGAAGGAAGCAAGGAAGGAGGGAAGGAGGGGAATGATGGTTGGAAGGGAAGGAAAGAAAAGGAAGAGTGATATATGGAGGGATGAAAGGAAAGGAAGGAAAGAGATAGGGAGGGAGGGATGGAAGAAGGGAATGGAAGGGTTGGAGAGTAGGGAAGGGGAGGGAGGGAGGAAGGAAGAGAGAGAATGATGGAAAGAAGAAAGGAAGGGAAGGAAGAGTGATGGATGGATGGAGGAGAGGAGAGAAAGGGAGGGGAGGGAGGGAGCGAGAGAAGAAGCAAGGAAGGGAATGATGGATGGAAGGGAAGGAAGGAAATAAGAGAAGAAAGAGAGTGATGGATGGATGAATGGATGGATGGAGGAAGGGAAGGGAGGAAGAAAGTAAAGAAGGAAGGAAGGAAATGGAAATGTTGACTTCTACAGACTTCAGTTACATCTAGTTTTCATAGCAACAATACGGAAATTTGTAGTTTTGTTCTTCTCAAATCCAATTCAGGGGTGGTGGTGGTTTTTTTTTAAGATTGAGGTGAGAGTCCTGGCTTTGTCTCTCTTTCAGAGCAAAGTGTCGGGAATTATTAATAAGCAATGACAAAATATTTTGGGGCCGTTACCAAACATGACACACAACTCAATCCCTACGAAAGCGAAAGCTCATTTGTCGGCTTAAATTCAGCTGTGACGGCCTCCCATTAGCCGTCTCATTCAGGGAAGGAAACCGCCATTCAAAGCAAAACCATCAACAAGCACACGAAATAAAAGACCTCCTGCACAACGCAACCTCCATATCTGCGTCTCGTGAAAATCAGTCTCATTTTAATTCCCTGGTCCAATGCCTAAGGCAAACACCAATTTTTAGCACCCTGTTGAGGGCGATCAGTATTGGCGATATACGGAAGGACAGCTCTGAGGACGGTTCCATATTTTACCAATTAATACAAGCGTCGTAAAACGAAAATTTTCATTTTTCTTCAAAAAAAATGTTTTTTTTCGGGAAAAATGAAGAAATACCGCGAGATGAAGAAATAGTTAAGAAGATACTGTCAGGTTTTCAGGCCGTCTTCAAATAAATTGCGTCTCAAACAAAGTCTTTTTTGAAACAAACTTCCATTTTATTTAGCACGGCAACTTTTACACTGACTCTATGCAGCCAGCACTGAGGTGCTGACCCAAAATCCCTCCTCTTCCTTCCCCCACTCCTCTGCATTCATTGGCCATCTTCCCAATCATTCACCCCTAATCTACTGCTCCAACTCAAAGAATTTCCCCCCTCCCATCCATCTCCTAGGGGACATTATCTCCAGCTAATATAAGTAGGTGAAAGGCAACCATCCCGTTCTCCTTCTCATGTCAGCACTAGGATAAATGCATCTTGACGTGCTGACAGATACTAGATCAGTGATGGCTAACCTTTTTGCTGCTGGGTGCTAAAAGTGGGGGGAGCGCGGGGGGGTCGTGTCTGCACGTGCCCACACCCCTAATTCAATGCTCCCCATGCCCTGTCCCCCACGCATGTGTGCGCGACCCTCCTGCTTTTGGCACGTGATGGCACGGTGGGCCTGGTAGACCTGTTTTTCAGCCCCTCCCCAGGCTCCAGAGGCTTTCTAGGAGCCTGGGGAGGGCAAAAATTGCCTAGCCCACCCTCCCGGAGGCTCTTCAGAGGCTGGAAACAGCCCATTTTCTGACTTCCGGTGGGCCAGGAAGGCCTGTTTTTCGCCCTCCCTGAGCTCCAGAGGCTTTCTAGGAGCCTGGGGAGGGCAAAAACATCCTTCCACACCCCCAGGAGGCACTCTGGAGGCCAGAAACAGCCCGTTTCCCAACTTCCGGTGAGCCCTGAAGGCCTGAAAATCAGCTGGCCGGCACACATGCACGCTGGAGCTGAGCTAGGGCAACACTTGCATGCCCACAGATATGGCTCCATGTGCCATCTGTGGCACGTGTGCCAGAGGTTCGCCATCACGATACTAGATTGTGCAGAAATGCATAGACGGACATTTAAAATTAAGCAGAAAGAGGAGTAGAATATTCTCAAACGTGGAATTTATTTTACCAGTGGTTAGAAAAAAAGGGGGTGGAGATTAAGAATGTAATTTGTATTGTTCAGCAAATTAAATACCCTGACAACGCAATGTTTATAAAGCACTAAGAAATGTATTTAATAGAAAATAAAAATGCAAAAATAAAATAAACCAAAAATTTTGAACCGTAATTTACAATATTTGCTCTCCACGCTTACCTGTTTCGGAAAGCAACTTCGTCGCTTCTAACACTTTCTCAGTGTAAACCCCGGCTTCGTAGTTTTCCATCTCGGCGTTGATGATGTGGATAACCCTGGCGGCGCGTCCTCGAATCGCCCCCGCGGTCCTGTCCAGGGTATCGACGTCACCCTCTTGCAAGGCAATCACACATTTGTTGACGTCTTCCAGAATGTGATTTTCTGTAACAGAACAGGGTCTTGGTTATTCATAAACGGTCTTCCTTCAAAGTACAGACTACCTGTAATCCTGCGTTGGACTGAGACATAGGGAATGGCAGGGGTGGGGCTGCTGCGGGTTCACAGGGGTTCGAGCGAACCTCTAGCTAAGATTCTGTGCAGTTCGAAGAACCCCAAAATCCCACTGCTGGCTGGCCCTGCCCACCTTGCCCCTCCCCTCCCAAGAGTCCCCACGCGGCCTGTTTTGGATGTAGGTAAGTGCAGGGTGCACACGGAGGCTCGGGGAGGGCGATAAACCGGAAGTTTGGGAAGGCCGGAAATGGGCCCATTTCCAGCCTCCAGAGGGACCCCTGAGCCTGGGGAGGCCGTTTTCGCCCTCCCAGAGGCTTGAGAAAAGCCTCCGGAGCCTGGGGAGAACAAAAATGCTCCCCCCTACAATGTGGTGCAGTAGGCCGACTAGGCCAAACCCACCATGGCCACGCCCACCCAGCAACTGGGCAGAGAACCCCTTGCTAAAATTTTCGAAACCCACTTCTGGGGAGCGGGCCAAAATTATCTTATGGGCTTTAGGGCGAGATAGGGATTCGAACCCGGGATCTTCCCAAGCACAGTTCAACGTTCTGACTGCTATTCTGAGCTGCACCTTTATTGAGTGACCAATATTTTCCATGAAATACCTGAGACGGAAAGGAAATCATCCACGGAAGTGATGTCATCGACCGCCTCGGTCAGGACTCGCACCTGCTTCTCCCACTGGTCTTTGAAGACGTCCATGTTGTCTTGGGCCACTTTGCTCTGAGGCCTGGCAGCCAAGGTGAGAGCTGCGTTTATCACCTGCGAGACAGAAAGGGTTCTTGTGAATAGCCATAAGAGGACATGGGAAGGGTCTCCAAATCTGGACGCTTTAAGACTTCTGGGCTTCAACTTTTAAGACTTGTGGACTTCACGACATAAGCCTAAGATTGAAAATCAGGCTTGTCAGATGCTACATCTTTTCTATCCTGCTCTACGGAGCAGAGAGTTGGTCTCTGACAGAAAGCCCCTTGAAACATTTGAAATGTGGATTTACAGGCGGCTGTTACGTATAAATTGGGTTGACAAAATCAGAAATTTATTTATTTATTTATTTATTGGTTCAATTTATATGCCGCCCTTCCCCGGAGACTCAGGGCGGCTTACAATGCGTTAAGCAATTAAGAAATGAGGAGGTGATAAGACGAAAGTTAGAATATTTTGGACATGTGATGCGACACCCACAAAAGATTGAAGGCCAACGAGGTCCAGGCAGAAGAACATCATGGCTTCAAAATCTAAGGGACCCGTTTGGACAAAACTCAGCAGCACTTTTTTCGTGCGGCCATTGATAAAAATAGGATCGCCAACATGATCGCCAACATCTGATGACGGATAGGGCACAAGAACTGGCGCAGAGTGCGGCCGTGCGGGTGGTTATGGGAGCGACATGGTGTTCCCATGTAACACCTCTCCTGCGCGAGCTGCACTGGCTCCCGGTGGTCTTCCGGGTGCGCTTCAAGATTTTGGTTATCACCTTTAGAGCGCTCCATGGCTTAGGACCTGGGTATCTACGGGACCGCCTGCTACTACCAATAGCCTCCCACCGGCCGGTATGCCCTCATAGAGAGGGGCTCCTCTGGGTGCCGTCGGCCAAACAATGTCGACTGGCGGCCCCCAGGGGGAGAGCCTTCTCTCTGGGGGCACCTACTATCTGGAATGAGCTCCCCCCGGAGATACGGAGGATCCCGGATCTACGCACCTTCTGTCGCACGCTTAAGACTTTTTTATTTCATCAAGCTGGCCTGGCCTAAATCTTTCCCCTTTAAAATGTAAATTTTAATTTGTTTTTAAAATTATTAGATGTTTTAAATTTGTCAGCCAAATTGTTTAATTCGGTTTTATTCGGTTTTTAAATTTTGTATTTATGTGTTTTATTCTGTGGCTGTTCACCGCCCTGAGTCCTTCGGGAGTAGGGCGGTATACAAATCCAATAAATGAAATGAAAAAATGAAATGAAATGAAAGAAGAAGGACTTCAACTCCCAGAATTCCCCACTCATCATAGCTGTCTGGCTGGGGAATTCTGGGAGTTTTTTCCATCATGGCACCTGCCCTATGGAATGAGATCTCTCCAGATATTTGAATGGAAGCTGCTGAAGATCTGACTACAGGGAACTCCTCGATTTACGACCACAATAAATTTCTGCTGTTAAATGAGACGCTCCCTAAGTGTAGCTTTGCCCTGTTTTATGACCTTTCTAGCCACAGTTGTTAAGTGAATCGCTGCAGTTGTGAAGCGAGTAACCCAGTTGTTAAGTGAATCCGGTTCCCCCAGTGATTTTGCTTGTCAGAAGATTGCAAAAGGGGAATCACGTGACCCTGGGAGACAGCAACGGTCATAAATAGGAGCCAGTTGCCAATCATCCAAAAATTTTGATCGTGGGGATGCTGAGACGGTCGTAAGTGTGGAAAAACCGTCATAAACGTGACTCAATTGCCAAGACGCTGAATTTTAATCACGTGACCAGGGGGATCGCTCCAACAGTCGTTAAGTGTGAGAACTGGTCATAAGTCACTTTTTTCAGGGCTGTTGTAACTTTGAACAGTTACAACAGCCCTGAAAAAAGTGACTTATGACCAGTAAATGGGCTGTTGTAAGTCGAGGAGTACCTGTATTCTCCTAGGCTTTGAAACAGGTTAACAGTTGTACGTTTATTAGATGGTTATTTTGTTTAGATGACTCTCTTCAAGCTGCTTAGATTATTATTTTTTTATTATTATGTTATTGCTGTTCTTATTTTTTTTTTTAACTGCAAGACACCTGACACCATTGGAAGCCAGGTAGGCTGTAAAGTATTTGTATGCGTAAATAAAATTGATGAATATGGTTGCCCTTAGTAAAATGCAGTGCCGTGAACACTGTCCTGCATTGACATGTTTACCGATTTTTTTATTGTGCTTTTATTGTGCATTATATTGCAGAAGTATAAGTTGTGGAGCATCAATCACAGCGTTGAAGCAGCATTCTAAACAAAGAAGCATGCTAACGGAGAGCTCAAAGCTCATACAAAGCTGGGTATTTTCTACATCAAACATAGCTTGCTCTCTACGAACAATGGAATGACAAGAGTTGGAAGGGACCTTAGAGGTCTTCTAGTCCAACCCCCTGCTGAAGAAGGTAACCCTAAAGATAAAGGTTCCTCTCGCACATATGTGCTAGTCATTCTGGACTCTAGGGGGCGGTGCTCATCTCCGTTTCAAAGGCGAAGAGCCAGTGGTGTCCGAAGACGTCTCTGTGGTCATGTGGCCGGCATGACTCAACGCCAAAGGCGCCCGGAACGCTGTTACCTTCCCACCAAAGGTGGTCCCTATTTTTCTACTTGCATTTTTTTACGTGTTTTCGAACTGCTAGGATGGCAGAAGCTGCGACAAGTAACGGGAGCTCACCCCGTTATGCGGCACGGGGGATTCGAACCGCTGAACTGACAACCTTTCGATCGACAAGCTCAGCGTCCTAGTCACTGAGCCACCGCATCCCATTTCAAATGGTTGTCCAATCTTTTCTTAAAAACGTCCAATTTGGAGCACCCACAACTGGTGGAAGCAAATATTCCACTGTTTAATTGTTCTAACTTGCAGGAATTTTCTCCTTAGTTCTAGGTTGCTTCTCTCCTGGATTAGTTTCCATGCATTGCTTCTTGTTCTGCTTTCGGAAGCTTTGAGAACAGAATAAAACAGTTGGAAGGGACCTTGGAGGTGTTCTAGTCCAACCCCCTGCTCAAGCTGGAGACCCTAGATTAGGGGTGTCAAATTAAATTTCTTCGAGGCTGCATCAGCATTGTAGTTGTCCTCCGCGGGCCAGCGGGGGTGGGGGAAATGGGACGGGACGGCCTTCTGCAGCACCCTGTTGGCGAAAACGGGCTTGGGGAGGTCACATGTGCCCCCCCATGGCCCGTTTTCGGCCTGGATGGTCTCCTGTATTACCCTGCTGCTGCAGGAGCCATCCAGGCTGAAAACGGGGCATGGGGAAGGGGTCGTATGTACCCTCCGCTGCACCCCATCTTTGCTACCAGAAGCACTGTGGGCCGGTCCTTTGCTATTTCCAGGCCGCCCCTGCGGTCCGGATCTAAGCACCCCGCAGGCTGAATCCTTCCCACAGGCCTTAAATTGGACAGGGCAGGGGTGAAATCCAGCAGGTTCTGACAAGTTCTGAAGAACTGGTAGCGGAAATTTTGAGTAGTTCGGAGAGAACGGCAAATACCACCTCTGGCTGGCCCCAGAGTGGTTTGGGAATGGGGATTTTGCAGTATCCTTCCCCCAGGAGTGGGGTGGGAATGGGGATTTTGTATCCTTCCCCAGGAGTGGGGTGGGAATGGGGATTTTGCAATATCCTTCCCCCAGGAGTGGGGTGGGAATGGGGATTTTGCAATATCCTTCCCCCAGGAGTGGGGTGGGAATGGGGATTTTAGCAATATCCTTCCCCCAGGAGTGGGGTGGGAATGGGGATTTTGAAGTATCCTTCCCCCAGGAGTGGGATGGGAATGGGGATTTTGCTATATCCTTCCCCCAGGAGTGGGGTGGGAATGGGGATTTTGCAATATCCTTCCCCCAGGAGTGGGGTGGGAATGGGGATTTTGAAGTATCCTTCCCCCGGAGTGGGGTGGGAATGGGGATTTTGCTATATCCTTCCCCCAGGAGTGGGGTGGGAATGGGATTTTAGCAATATCCTTCCCCAGGAGTGGGGTGGGAATGGGGATTTTGAAGTATCCTTCCCCCAGGAGTGGGGTGGGAATGGGGATTTTGCTATATCCTTCCCCCAGGAGTGGGGTGGGAATGGGGATTTTGCAATATCCTTCCCCCAGGAGTGGGGTGGGAATGGGGATTTTGAAGTATCCTTCCCCGGGAGTGGGGTGGGAATGGGGATTTTGCAATATCCTTCCCCAGGAGTGGGGTGGTAATGGGGATTTTGCAATATCCTTCCCCAGGAGTGGGGTGGGGACGGGGATTTTGCAGTATCCTTCCCCTGCTACGCCCCACCAAGCCACACCCACCAAGCCACACCACGCCCACCAAACCGGTAGTAAAAAAATTTGCATTTCACCACTGCCCCTGCCCTAGATCATATCAAATAATAATATAGCAGACGCTTCTAAAGATTCCCTCCTTCCCCTCCAAATAGTATAAAATAAGACTCACCTGTGGGCATAAACTATCAATCTGGGTTGCTGCCATCCGGACCAATTTTACCCCTTCTTCATTATTGGAAATGGAACAAGCCAAATTGGCCACCTGCAACGAAAGCCAGCGGAATAAAGTTCAGAATCAGGAAATCAAAATATTTTTCTCCAAAACAAGCAAGCAAGGAAGCAAGATGGATAGAGAATGAAAAGAAGAAGAAGGAAAAAAAAAAAAGTTAGATCACATCCTTTCCCAAGTGAAGACCAAATGGAGAAAGCCACCTTCCGTCAAGCTGCAAAATGGTTTTTTGTCAACGCACGAAAGTGATTCATAAATCTGAATTTACAGTTTAAGACAACACAGGTCCAGATATTGTAATATTTTTCACAATTTACACTGTTTCCAATATATTTATACGTAAAGAATAAAAATATATCTTTAAAAAAAAACAACACAGGTCGTCTTCGACGTACGACCATAATTGAGCGCCAAATTTCTGTTGCTAAGGAAGACAGCGAAGTGCGTTTTGCTCCATTTTACGACCTTCCTTGCCACTGTTGTTACGTGAATACACTGCTGTTGTTAAGTTAGTAGCACAGTTGTTAAATGAAACTTACGACACTGAAAAATGACCGACATGACCGTTTTTTCACACTTATGACCGTTGCAGCATTCCCCATGGTCACGTGATCCAAATTCGGACGCTTGGCAACTGACTCGTATTTACGACGGTGGCAATGTCCCGGGGGTCACGTGATCCTCTTTTGCAACCTTCTGACAAGCCAAGTCAATGGGGGAAGCCGGATTCACTTAAGAACCGTGTTCCTAAGTTAACAACTTGCAGTGATTCACTTAATCGCTGTGGCACGCAAGGTCATAAAATGGAGCTAAACTCATTGAACACTGTCTAATTAGCAGCAGAAATTTTGGGCTCAGTTGCGGTCGTAAGTCGAGGACTACCTGCAGTTGGTAGACTGCTCCTCCTGTTATTTAGAATCTCCCGGTTCCATCCCTAGAAGGTTACTGATGTCCGTTTTCTGCTTCTGCTTCCTCTCATTCACCGTAGCGATCGCAAACATGGTTTGCAGCTGAATCAGGGATGAAATCCAGCAGGTTCTGACAGGTTCTGGAGAACCGGTAGCGGAAATTTTGAGTAGTTCGGAGAACCGGCAAATGCCACCTCTGGCTGGCCACAGAGTGGGGTGAGAAGGGAAATTTTGCACTATCCTTCCTTTGGAGTGGGGTGGGAATGGAGATTTTGCAGCATCCTTCCGCTGGAGTGGGGTGGGAACGGAGATTTTGCAGTATCCTTCCCCAGCAGTGGGGAGGGAATGTGGATTTTGCAATGTCCTTCCCCCAGGAATGGGGAGGGAATGTGGATTTTGAAAATATCCTTCCCCCAGGAGTGGGGTGGGAATGGAGATTTTGCAATATCCTTCCCCCAGGAATGGGGAGGGAATGTTGATTTTGCAATATCCTTCCCCCAGCAGTGGGGAGGGAATGTGGATTTTGCAATATCCTTCCCCCAGGAATGGGGAGGGAATGGGGATTTTGCAATATCCTTCCCCCAGGAATGGGGAGGGAATGGGGTTCCCCCAGGAATGGGGAGGGAATGGGGATTTTGCAATATCCTTCCTCAGGAGTGGGGAGGGAATGGGGATTTTGCAATATCCTTCCCCCAGGAATGGGGAGGGAATGGGGATTTTGCAATATCCTTCCCCCAGGAGTGGGGAGGGAATGGGGATTTTGCAGCATCCTTCCCCTGCCATGCCCAAGCCACGCCCACAGAACCGGTAGCAAAAAAAAAAATGAATTCCATCACTGAGCTGAATCCATATATTTGTTTTTTCAAACATTGTCTGCTTGCAGAAGCCAGAAGTTCTGGACTAAGAATTCCAGAACTTGAACACTGGGCCCTATCTAACAAAATGAAATTCAACGTAGAGAAAAGTAAAGTCTTACTTAGGCAAGAAAAAACGAAAGTTCACATATAACTGGGTGAAACCAGGCTTAATAGCTGTAACTGTGAGAGGGATCTTGGAGTCTTAGTGGACAGCCAGCTAAATATGAGCCAGCAGTGTCCAGCGGCAGCCACAAAAGCCAATGCAATCCTAAATTGCATTAACAGAGGGATTCAATAAAGATCACGTGAGTTGCTAATACCACTCTATAAAGCCTTAGTAAGGCCACACCTAGAATACTGCATCCAGTTTGGTCACCACACTATAAAAAAGAGGCTGAGATTCTAGAACAAGTGCAGAGAAGAGCAACCAGGATGATTAGGGGACTGGAGGCTAATGTTCTGTCCCCGTCTCACACATGCACACAAACAGACAGCCAGGAGTTAAATAAAACTGGCAGACAACAAATTCTTTCGATAAGAGGATTGGCAGCAACCCAGTAGCTGCTTGCCAAGAACTTTACTCATAGAGGGAGAGGTTGTTCCTCCGACAGATAAACCCAAACAAGATACACACAGTTCAAGAATTGTCAAGTCCAGTCCGTATTAAATCCAAGGCAGATAACCTTGTTTCAAAGATACAATGTGACTCGCTAGTAGTTTGTTTTGTCCGTCACAAAGTCTGAATGGCCACCTCACCCCCTTTTATCCCCTGTGGGGTGTGGTCCAGTGACTCAGCCTAATCTCTGGCACGCCTCCTTTTCTGCTGTGTGTGCTTGTCTCTCCGACGCTGGCGTGGATCCAGCCAAGACTTATCTCCATCACTGTCTGACTGCGAGAAGATACCTGGCTCCTGGCCAATCTCTTCTTCTTCGGGAGACACCTGAGGCATTGCCAGAGAGGAGGGTCCTGGAGAGGGAGGCCTGGCTAACTCCTCTCCTTCATGTGCGGAGCCTTCTCCCTCTGATAAGTCGGCCTCGGGGGTCGAAGTCACAACAGCTAAAACATATGAAGAACGGTTGGAGGAACTGGGCATGGCTAGTCTAGTGAAGAGAAGGACCAGGGGAGACATGATAGCAGTCTTCCAATATTTGAGGGGTTGCCACAGAGAGGAGGGGGTTCAAGCTATTTTCCAAAGCACCTGAAGGCCAGACAAGGAATAATGGATGGAAACTAATCAAGGAGAGATTCAACCTAGAAATAAGGAGAAATTTTCTGACAGTGAGAACAATCAATCAATGGAACTGAAGTTGCCTTTGGAAGTGGTGGGAGCTTCATCACTGGAGGCTTTCAAGGGGAGACTGGGCTGCCATCTGTCAGAAATGGTGCTTGGGCGGGGGGTTGGACTAGATGACCTACAAGGTCCCTTCCATCTCTGTTAAACTGTTAAGGCATGTTTCTATTAAAGGTCACTGCCCGCATCTCCGCCGCTCTCCATTTTCCCCAAGGGTTCGACGGTTGCGAGGCACAGAGCCTCTAACTCGCAGCCTCCAGCCTAAAGCCATCTGTTCTACCAGACTGCTTCTGCAAAAGCCAGCCAGATGCCTCCTAGGCAAGGAGGACGGGGAAGACACCAGCTCAATTGCCCCCGCCCGCTTCTGTTTCCTGCCGGCTCAAATCAAAAGGGCTGATGGCTTCCGTTATCGGAGACGACAGTCTTATTCTCCACGGATGTGTTTCATGCTCTTTTAAAAACGGCACGGGGTCAGCGGCTATGACCATGGCCACGGGATTTATAGCATCCGTCCCTCGCTCGCGGAGAAAGCCCATCTTCATTAGTGATGGTTCGCCATAGCAATGGTTGGGTAAATGCTACAAGAAGGAGTGGACTCACCCGTGGGGGAAAAAAAATGGACGACGTTGTGCAGGACCAAGCATCGAAAATATGACCTGGATGTGTTTTGTCCAAAGTTACAGAATAGTGGATTTGGAAGGGGCCTTGGAGGTCATCTAGTCCAACCCACCTGCTCTAGCAGGAAAGCCTGTACCATTTCAGACAAATGGTTGTCCAATCTCTTCTTGAAAGTCTCCAGTGATGGAGCACCCACAACTTCCGAAGGCAAGTCGTTCCACTGATTAATTGTTCTCACTGTCAGTAAATTTCTTCTTAATTCTAGGTTGGATCTTCCTTTAGTGATTCCCCCCTTCCCCCCGTTACTTCTTATCTTGCCCTCGGGTTTCAATTTAGTGAAAAGAAGGACTAGGGGTGACATGCTAGCAGTGTTACAATATCTAAGGGGCTGCCACAAAGAAGGGGGAGTCAAGCTATTCAAAGTGACAAAATTAGTGGACCGGAGGAATGCTGTCGATATAATTTACTTGGACTTCAGTAAAGCATTTGATAAAGTAGACCATAACCTACTACTAGATAAAGTAGAAAAATGTGGGTTAGACACCATCTCCACCAGATGGATTCGTAACGGGCTGACCAACCGCACTCAACGTGGAGTCCTCAATGGAACTGCATCTACGTGGAGGGAAGTATGCAGTGGAGTACCCCAGGGCTCTGTCTTAGGCCCAGTGCTCTTCAACATCTTCATCAATGACTTGGATGAGGGGATAGATGGGGAACTCATCAAATTTGTAGATGACACCAAGCTGGCAGGAATAGCCAACACTCCAGAAGATAGGCTCAAGATACAGAAGGATCTTGATAGACTTGAACATTGGGCGCTATCTAAGAAAATGAAATTCAACAGTGAAAAAAAAGGAAGGTTCTACATTTAGGCAAGAAAAACAAAATGCACAGGTACAGTATATGTGGTACCTTGCTCAATAGTAGTAACTGTGAGAGGGATCGTGGAGTCCTAGTGGACAACCATTTAGATATGAGACAGCCATGTGCAGCAGCTGCCAAAAAAGCCAACACAGTTCTAGGCTGCATAAACAGAGGGATAGAATCAAGATCACGTGAAGTGTTAATACCACTTTATAAGGCTTTGGTAAGGCTACACTTGGAATACTGCATTCAGTTTTGGTCGCCACGATGTAAAAAACATTTTGAGACTCAAGTGCAGAGAAGAGCAACAATGATGATTAGGGGATTGGAGGCTAAAACATATGAAAAACAGTTGCAGGGGGTATGTCTAGTTTAATGAAAAGGAGGAGTAGGGGAGACATGATAGCAATGTTCCAATATCTCAGGGGCTGCCCCAAAGAAGAGGGAGTCAAGCTATTCTCCAAAGCACCTTCTGAAGGCAGGACAAGAAGCAATGGGTGGAAACTAATCAAGGAGAGAAGCAACCTAGAACTAAGGAGAAATTTCCTGACAGTGAGAACAATGAATCAGTGGAACAACTTGCCTCCAGAAGTTGTGAATGCTCCAACACTGGAAGTTTTAAAGAAGATGTTGGATAACATTTGTCTGAAGTGGTGTAGGGTTTCCTGCCTGGGCAGGGGGTTGGACTAGAAGACCTCCAAGGTCCCTTCTAACTCTGTTATTCTATTTCTATTTCTATTCTTGAAAGCACCTGAAGGTGGAACAAGAAGATGGAAATTCATCAATGAATGGAAATTCATCAAGGAGAGACGCATTCTAGAACTAAGGAGAAATTTAACTCACTTAACAAATCCACAGAACTTTTGGATTCAATTGTGGTCACACGTCGAGGACCACCTGTGTATCATCTGGATGAGTGTATGATCACAGGGTTTTCAAATAATTTGAAGTACTTTCTAGGGTGATTCTTAGTAAAAGGCGAGTCACAGATTGAGATTTAACCTCAGCGCCAAGCCTAGAAAACACCCGTGAAGTCAAGCCCATCTTACAACCTCACAACTTGTCCCAACTCTTAATATTTCTCCGACGTTTGCATCCCTCTTCTTTCTCGGAAAATAGGATTCACAAGAGGGGATCGTGGCTTGCCCACTTTTCCTCCTGAGGGTAACTAAGAAACAAATGAACCAACCCAAGCCACGGACCACGACAGCAAAGGTGGCACGCGAAGTATTTATCAAAATCAAACCAGATTGGGGCTCGGATCACCGCAGAGGTCCCTAACTCCAAACTCTAATTCTGTGTTGTAACAAGAACACGGACGGAAATAAATATTCTGCTTTGGTTTTTATTTATTTTGCCCTGAGGCCATGCCACAGTACCGGCTGGAAATTTATTCATGAATAAGTTCAAACAAGCTTCTTTCTCCCCGCCATTTCTTTTTGGGTCTTCGCTTGTGGCATGAATCTGTTCCTGCTTCCGATATTGCAATGCGATATATAATTACGGATCCATCTGTTCGAGGAGACCCCTTCGGCCAGCCTCATTTCGCTCCGACGTTATCAAGCACGCGGTTTTGCATGCCTCAATGGATCAGGATCCCAAGGGGAAAACAGCTCTGGATTGCAAGAGGGACCTTCGGGATATATCCCAGCCTAGCTTTTTTTTGTTGTTGTTGTTTTTGACTCCGGCACGTGAGATCTGATTTTTATCGGAAAGGGGAAGACAAATGAATTACCGTTTTGCTAACGGCCTGGGAGCATCGGGTCAGAAATGGAGGCCCCTCCAGCCGGTTTGTTGTGCTTGTTAATCAGCTGCTGTTTTGCAAACATCAAATATCCTTACTTTCCATTAAAACGGCCCAAAGCTACAACAAACAGTAATTATAATGCAGAGGCAGAAGGGAACAAATCAGATGCTTTAAGTCAGATGCAGAATGCAGGATTAAAGGGCCTGCAAATATGTACTCGTAGCATTACTGGCTGAGGAAATAATTACAGACCTCTCACGTCCTGGATATAATCTGCTCAAACTTCACGCCGTTATAAGGAATTGCATGCCAAAACAACTAGACCCAAAGGTAGTTTCTGCCACCACCACCCCACACCTCCCCGTGCCATCACTCTGCTGAACACCTAATTCCCACAGACCTAAAGATATTTACCCATGTATTAGGCTCTGTCTGTTGCAATTATCCTTGGCATCTTCTCATTGCATCGGAACAAATTCCTTGTGTGTCCAATCATACTTGGCCAAATAAGAATTCTATTCTATCCTTAGTTCTAGATGTATTGTATTGTATTGTATTGTATTGTATTGTATTGTATTGTATTGTGTTCTATTCTATTCTACTTTACTGTATTCTAGTCAACTGTATTATATTCTATTCAACTGTATTGTATTCTACTGTATTGCATTGCATTCTATTCTATTCAATTCTGTTCTTCTGTACTGTACTGTATTATATTATATTCTATTCAACTGTATGGTATGGTATGGTATGGTATGGTATGGTATGGTATGGTATGGTATGGTATGGTATTCCGTTCTGTTCTGTTCCGTTCCGTTCCGTTCCGTTCCGTTCCGTTCTGTTCCATTCCATTCCGTTCCATTCCATTCCATTCCATTCCATTCCATTCTATTGCATTGTATTGTATTGTATTGTATTGCACTGCATTCTGTTGTGTTCTACTCTACTGTACTGTATTATCTTCTATTCAACTGTATTGTATTGCATTGTGTTCCGTTCCATTCTATTCTAGTCCTGATTAAAAAAAAATAAAAATAGGAGGCCTTTTATTCTGAAATCAGCCGTCCTTCAAACATCTTTTCTTCCTTTGATGATCATCAAGATCAAAGAGGTGTCCTAGGCTTTGAAATGTGCTATTTATTCTGCCTCTGCTCAAGTACATTGGAAGCCACTGGAAAACCATAAGTAGCATCTCGAAATCGCAATTTAACCGTCAGGTTGGCAGCATCTTCATAGGCGTAGAATTTCTTACGGCACTCGTAGGAGGCAATCTCGGCTTTCTCTTTCTTTCACCGGGGAAAAAAAATATATTACATCTTTCATTCAACTGGCATTAAGCTTTTGAGCGCCAGCTTATCTTTTTCTAAGCTTTTCAATCCTTTCCCCTCCAAAAATACAAAGGGGAAAAAAAAAAAAAAGATGGACCTCACTCCCAAGATGCACATTTGTGATGATGTTATCTAGTTGGGTTATAAATCGTCAATATGTAAGAAAACCACTAAGCTCAGAGAGCACCAAAGAGCCGGTATTTGCTAATTGAAAGAGCAGAAAGGCTGACATTTGATCGTGTGTGTGTGGATGGATGGATGGATGGATGGAGGGTTGGACTGCTGCCAGTTTTAACAACTGGTTCGCAAATGAGAGCATGTGTCTTCCGCGCATGCGCGCTGCATCAAAAAACCGGCAATTATATAGGACATGATAGCGCTAGGCCGGGTGGGCGGGGCCAGCCCTGGTCAGAACTACCGGTTCACCCAAACCGGTTTGAGCTGGCAGCAGCCCACCACTGGATGGATGGGTGGGTGGGTGGGTGATGGATGATAAATGGATGATAGATAGATAGATAGATAGATAGATAGATAGATAGATAGATAGATAGATAGATGATAGACAGACGGGTGGGTGAATGGATGATAGATGAATGATAGATGGATGATAGATAATAGATAGATAATAGAGATATCTATCTGTCTGTCTGTCTGTCTGTCTGTCTGTCTGTCTGTCTGTCTGTCTGTCTGTCTGCACATATATGTATATATATGGGAAGGCTGAATCCACCTCCTACCCATCCTTAATTTTGTTATTTGCCTTTATTTGATTTATTTTATGTTCAAAAAGATGATTTATACATATAACCCGGCTCAATGAAACAAATAGTTTTGTTGCTGCTGAAGTAGCACTGTATGCATTCCTCTTTATGAACGAAAGCAAACAGACCAGGTTATTCCTGCATTTCAATGTAAACACCGAATAGAATGGCCGCTCTAATATATTCGAAAGGTTTGCCAAACCCCCAGATATGACAAATGTTTTCCAAACAGTTCAGTTCCTTTTGGTAGCGTATCATTTACTTAACTTTATATTATCATTCCATTCTTTTATGGATTTCAGCTGAGGAAAATAACCGGACGACATAAATGTTTTGTGTGAAATGCACCTTCTAGCAAAACAACACAGATCTAAGTGTGGAAGAGGAAGAGGTCTTTTTCCTCAAATGATACAAATGCGCCATTATTAGAAATAACGCTGAGAGAATCTTCCGGACTACTAATACAAATGAATTGGATTTACATCAAATTGTTGATTCGGTTCGAAATGGGCAAGCCCCTCCCAAATTCAGCTGCGCGCAAACACACACAGACTTTTTTCCACACAGAAAAAAGTTTTGCTGCTAACAGTTTGAAGTGTCTAATGCCCTCGACTTACGCCCACAATGGGGCCCAACGTTTCGGCTGTTAAGTGAGTCATTTGTTAAGGGAGTTTTTGCCCCATTTTTACGACCTTTCTTTCTTGTGCCAGTTGTTGAGCGAATCCCTGCAGTTGGATTTGTGAGTAACCCGGTTGTTTAAGTGAATCTGGTTTCTCCATGGACTTTGCTTGTGAGAAGATCGCACAAAGGGATCCCGTGATCCTGGGACACTGCAGCCCTCAGAAATAGGTTAGGAGTCACCTTTTCTGGAGAATCAGCTGGTAACTTTTTTTTTGCAGTCTTTCCAGTGGTCAATAATGCTCTCTCTCTCTCTCTTTCCTTCCTTCTCTGTCTCTCTTTTTTCCTTCCTCTCTCTCTCTTTCTCTCTTTACCCTTTTTTTCTTTCTGTCTTTCTGTCTTTCTTTCTTTCCCTCCCTCCCTCCCTATCTCTTTTTCTATCCTTCCCTCCTTTTCTCTTTCTCTCTCTCCCTCTCTCTTTCCCTCCCTCCCTGTCTCTTTCTCTCTCTTTTTCCCGCCCTTTTTTCTCTTTCCCCCCTCCCTAGCTCGTTCTCTCTCCCTCCCTTCCTCTTTCTCTTTCCCTCCCTCCTTTTCTCTTTCTCTCTCTCTCCCTCCCTCTGTCTCTTTCTCTCTCCCTCCCTCTCTATTTCCCTCCCTCCCTTTCTCTTTTTCTCCCTCCCTCCCTCCCTCCCTATCTCTTTCTCTCTCTTTCCCTCCCTCTGTCTCTCTCCCTCCCTCCCTCCCTATCTCTTTCTCTCTTTCCCTCCCTCTGTCTCTCTCTCTCCCTCCCTTTCTCTTTCTCTCTCCCTCTCTCTCTCTTTCCCTCCCTCCCGCCTTCTCCCCTTCCAGACAAGCTTCTTGCAAATTGCAATTTGTAAGGCCGAAGTGCAAAAACAATATTTGAAAACCGAAGAGGGGCAAGGAACATCCAAATGATGAGCAAAATAGAGTGATATCATATAGGGTTTAGCTTGCTGCAACATTAAATATAGATTATAGTGTTGGATAGAGGATTAAGCACAAAAGATTTGTAACCAATCAATACACTTTCTGTAATTGTAATGGATGATAATTGTTTTATGTTTTAAGTTTTGTTTAAAAATATTTTTTTTTCCATATATATATATATATATATATAATAGAGAATGTACATCACTGAATTATAGGATCTCTAAAACCTGCCTTTTTCTAGACACTCGGTTTAATCATTATTGCAGTGCTAAGAGAATGGAACCAATTTTCCACCGAGTAGTAACCGGAGCGTATGGTCTACTACCTGATGAACGGTTGCAGTGGGGATAATATCATTGATGAGGTCTCGCATATTATCACTGTCCTCAGAGATTTTCGGTTTAACTCAAGAAAGCAAGATTGCTGGGGGTTTTTTTCTTTTTCTTTTTTCCAGAAGAGCATTATTAGCTCATAAATACATAAAGCCGTTTATATATAATTGTGCTCCTTTTCTTTCAATTTCAAAGCTCTCTGATTAGAAGAGTTTTCTTCTGACACTTAAACGAGCAAATAACACACAGACACACACACATATACCCTCACTAGTTGTAGCCAGTGCAATTTTCACAATTCGGATCAATATAACGTAAAAAATATTTTCAGAAACGTATTTTGCAGCACAAAATGAAAATAAGAAAGAATCCCTCCTTCTCCCTTCCCTCCCTCTCTTCCTTTCCTTCTTTCCCTTTCCTCCCCTTTCTCCTTCCTTCCTTCCTCCCCTCCCCTTTCTCCTTCCTTCCTCCCCATCTTTCTTCCTTCCTTCCTCCCCTCCCCTTTCTCCTTCCTTCCTCCCCATCTTTTCTTCCTTCCTTCCCTTTCTCCTTCCTTCCTTCTCCCCTTCCTTCCTCCTTCCCTCCCTTATCTTTCCTTCCTTCCTTCCCTCTCCATCTTTCCTTCCTCCCCTCTCTCCTTCCTTCCTTCCTTCCCTTTCTCCTTCCTTCTTCCTTCCTTCTTTCCTCCCCTTCCTTCCTCCTTCCCTCCCTTATCTTTCCTTCCTTCCTTCCCTCTCCATCCTTCCTTCCTTCCTAAATCATGCATACACTGCTTGATAAACGATAAATAATGATAAATAATACACTGCTTGATAAATAATAATAATAATAATGAACGCAGTCAGCTATTTTTTGAATATTCTCAGCAATTCCACTTTTAAGTTTATTAAGCCTACATAACCTGCAATTCTAAGCTGCAACGGCACCAAAGAAGTGATTTATGACCAGTTTTCACACTTAACGACCGTTGCAGCATCCCCATGGTCAAAAGTCAGACGCTTGTCAACTGACTCGTACTTAGGACGGTTGCATTGTCCCATGGTCACGTGATCACGATTTGTAACCTTCCCAGCCTGCTTTTGACAAGCAACATCAATGGCTGAAGTCAGGTTCATTTAATTACACGTTGATTCACTTAACAACCGCAACGATTCTCTGGACGACTGTGGCAAAAATGGTCCTAAAATGGGGCAAAATTCACTTAGCATCTGCCTTGCTTAGCAATGGAAATTTTGGACCCAATCGTGGCCATAAATCAAGGACTACCTGTAATAACTAATGTGAGTTTATTTACCGGGTTGTTTTAACCTGGGATGGAGAGAGATCAGTGGATCCTTGCATACGGCCTCAACTCAGCATTCGGACCAAGCTCCCAAATGCAAAATATTTCGCTTCAGCAATACAAACACCTCTGAATTTTGCACCGCAATTAGGGATGCAAACAAAAGCCGCACGTCGGTAAAATTGTTTGTGGAAATTAAGGCCTTCCAAAAATGCATGAAAAAAATAATGTTTTAGCGTACATATTCTTGCCAGGGACAATCTTTTTTTGAAAAATTCAAAAACAAGGCTAACAATAAGACAAATGGAATAACGGAACGGGACTAGGTTATCTTAGCTGGGTGTCGACTTCCCTGGAGTTTGCAAAACAAAAAAAGGTATATTTATCTGTAAAAAAATGGATTTGTCCTATTCTAAATGGCGATATGGCCAAGTGAATTCAACGTGTTATGTAGAACTAACAGATAAAGCCTTTTAAAAAAAAAAAAAAATATTAGCTGATAACTGTATTGGGATACTATATAGTATAATATGGGCAACCATTTCTGAACTGGAAGATTTCTGATATTAGATGAAAGCAAAATTCTATAGAAAGAAAAACTTCAACTTACGACCACAATTGAGCCCAAAATTTCTGTTGCTAAGTGAGACAATTGTTAAGTGAGGTTTGCCCCATTTTACGACCTTGCTGGCCTGCGGTTGTTCAGTGAATCACTGCAGTCATTCAAGTTAGGCTGTTAAGTGAATCTGGCTTTCCCTTGTCAAAAAGGGGACTCGTGTGACTCCCCCCCCACAGGAGACGGCAACCGTCATAAATACGAGTCAGTCATTAATATGAGTCAGTTACTAAGTGTCTGAATTTGAATCAAGTGATCATGGGGAATCTGCAACGTCGTCGTAAGTGTGAAAAAAACGGTCGTGAGTCACTTATTTCAGTGCCGTTGTAACTTTAAATGGTCACTGAACGGATGCTTGTACTGTGTTTCCCCAAAAATAAGACCCTGTCTTATATTTT